AGAGCCCTGAACAGCAAAGGCACACTCTGCCTCTCTTCTGGACTCGGTGGATTTTCACTTGGCAGCTGCGGGAGATCGCCAGCAATATGGTCCAACTACAACGAGCCCTGAATGAGCTCTTGGAGGAACACACCACTGCCATGGGACAGTCGCAGGAAAAGCAGCAACAGCTGGAGAAGGAGCTGCAGGCAGCCCTGCAGGACAAGGTCAGGGGGCCTGGGGAGTGGTGGGTGCATCCCCTGTAGCTCCCCCATAGCCCCCCCACCAGCTGGGGGACATGCCAACTGCAAGCAGGGTGCAGCAGCCAGGAGCCTCCTGCCCATTTGTGCAGCACACAGGGAGAAGCTGTGTAACTGTCAGCTCCTGTGGGAAGCCTCTCCCTGGTGGGACTGGCTGCTGTCGTTGCAGTGGGGAGAGACAAATCTGCTGGAAAAGCATGGTGTCAGTACTGGGTGGGTGACTGTGCCTCTCCTTGGTTAGCTGGCTCTTCTGTCTTGCACCATGCTCAGTGCCATTTCTGTCCCCAGAAATACTCAGAAGAGAAAATCGAGATTCTACAGGGGAAGATTTCTGTGCTGGAGGACCAGTTGGCCAAGCTGGAGGAGTGCAGCACCCAGCAGAAGGGAGAAGTCATGGGGGACATTTTGAAGGTACATTGGGGCTCCTGCAGCAAGGGCTTTGAATGGTAAACTACTCCAGTTGGAGAGAGCAGCAGGTGCCAGGAGATGCATGGCAAAGCCATGTAGGGCAGAGCCGCTCTCTGCTGCTGGATAAGGGGATGTGGGGCTGAGCTCTCTCTGGGAGAGCTCCTTTTGGGCTGAATTTGCAAATACTGCTGCCAGGGAGCTGGCAAGGGGTTGATGACACACCAGTGTTTTGGGTACTGCTGAGCAGCACTATCTCTCTGTCTCAGTCAGACCCAATACAGTCTCCCTGCTTTTCTCTTTGCCAGCTGGAGGAGCTGAAGAAGGAAGTGTCCAGCCTCACGGCCAAAGGACTGCAGCTGGAGGAGCAGAATAAGCAACTGGACAGCCTTGTCACCAGCCTCCAGAGCTCCCTCTCTGAGAGCCACCAGGCCCGAGAGAAACTCAAGCAAGACCTGCAGGCACAGGCTGCTGAGAGCCAGGCTGAACAGCTGGCTGCCCTCAGTGTCCAGCATGAGCAGACCCTGCGGGAAAGGGACTCTGCCGTGCAGCAGCTCCAGCAGGCCAACGCATCCCTGAGCAGCCAGCTACAGGCCATGGATGAGGAGAAGACAGCACTGAGCCACAAGGTCGGTGAACTGGAAGCCCAGATCCTGGAGCTGGATGCCCAGAGACAGCAGGGAGTGGCAGCAGAGGCCCTGAAAGCACAGCTGCAGGAGCTGGAGGGCAGGCTAAAGGAGAGCCAGCAGAGGCTGGCTGAGAAGGAGAAGCTGGCCCGGGAGAACAGCCGCCTGCAGGAGCAGCTGCTGTTCCTGGAGGAATCCCTGCGGAACACTGAGGGAATATTGGAGGACGAGAAGAGAAGAGCAACTGAGTGCCTGGAGGGCAACCTTGCCAGGATTGCTGAGCTGGAGGCAGAGAGACAGCAGCTGGTTCAGGGCAGGGAGCAAGCTCTGCGGGAGCAGGGTGAGGAGCTGGCCGCACGCCAGGTGATAGAGGAGAGCCAGGAGCAGTCCATGGGAGCCTCTTCTGCTGCCCAAGGGGAGGACAAAGAGTACAGGCAGCTGAAGGAGGAAATACAGGTGCTGAGCCAGGAGCACAGCCGGACTTGTCAGCAGCTGCAGGCTGAGCAGGAGAAGGTGGCTGCGCTGGAGGCCCAGGCAGAGCGGCTGGCTGGCCTCCAGGCTGACTTGTCCAGGACTCAGTCATGGGCAAAGGAGAAGGAGAACGAGGAGAAGAAGCTGAGGGCCGAGATTTCATCGCTGCAGGAGAAGATGGCTGTGGCAGAGCAAACAGCAGCCCAGCGTGTGGCCAAGCTGGAGGCGGATGCCCAGAGAGCTGCTGAGGCACTGGAGGGAGTCTCCCAGCAGCTGTCCCAGGAGAAGCTCAAATCCAAGGAGTTGGAAGGCACCATGGATAAACTGCGGATTGCAGAGAAGGAGCTGGTGTCCCTCCGCTCTGCCGTGCAGGAGAAGGAGAGCTGGAAGGAACAAGTGTCCCAGTGTGTCCAGGAGATGGAGAGGAAGAACAGCCTGATCAGCAGCCTGGAGCATGAGGTCTCCATCCTCCATCACCAGGTGGAGGAAGGGGAAGGGGAGAGCAAGGAGCTAAAACGCCTCATCCTGGCTGAGTCAGAGAAGAGCAAGAAGCTGGAGGAGAGGCTGCGGGTGCTGCAGACAGAGATGGCCACCGCAGCCTCCCGTGCAGCTGAGAGGTGCTCATTGATGAAGGTAGAGGTGCAGCGGTGCCAGGAAGAGATTGAGAAACAGCAGATGACCATTGAGGCCCTGAAAAGGGACCGCCATTGCCAGAGTAAGCGGGAAGATGAGCTGCGGCAGGAGGCAAAGGTTTGCCAGGACAAGTGCCTACAGAAGGAGCAGCTCCTGGCTGCTTTGCAGCAGGAGCTCGACAGCGCTCGGGCCGAGCATGCCTCCCTGGAAAGCCAGCACCACCAGGACCTGGAGCAGAGAGCAAAAGCTGTGTCCACGCTGCAAGCTGAGCTAGCGCAGGCCAAGCTGAAGGTGGCTGAGGTGCCGTCACTGCGGGAGCAGTTGGCGGAAAAGGAGCGGGCCGTGCAGCGGCTGCAGGCTGACGCAGCAGAGGCAGGGGCACAGCTGGCAGGGCTGCAACAGGCCAACGCTCGGCTAGCCGAGGAACTCAGGAAGAGCCACAGCCAAGGGCAGCGGCAGCTCGAGGTGGAACTGGGCCAGGCCAGGGAGCGGCACCTGCAGGAGCTGGAGCAGCTGCGGGCAGCATCGGAGAAGCTGGTGGCCAGCAGCAGGCAGGAGGCTAAGGAGGCAGCACAGAAGCTGGAGGACCTGAGTAAGGAATATGAGAGCAGCAAAGCAGCAGCCTCAGAAGAGAGGAAGAAACTCCTGGAAGAGAAGCAGAGACTGACAACTCAGGTAGGGGTTCCACTCCCAGCAGGAGGGATGTGGATGGGGGACCCCTCCCAGAAAAGGGGTGTGTTCAGCTTTCTGTACACCCCTAAACCCACGTCCTGCTCAGCACAAGGACTAGGGGTGTGGGACACATTTCTAGGTGTAAAAGGGACTGTCACATTGACATGCTGCTGGAGTGTTTCCTGAAAAGAGCAGCAATGCTGGGGGATGATCTGGAGCACCAGTCTGATGAGCAGCAGCTAAGGGAGTTGGGGGGCGGGGCTAAGCCTGGAGAAAAGGAGGCTAGGGGGAAACAGTCTCTCCCCTGAAAGGGTGAAACAGCTCCCTGAAAAGAGGATGCAGCCAGATGGGGGTCTCCCAGGTAACTTGTTCTCCCAGTTAGCAAGTGGCATGACAATAGGAAATAGTTTCAAATTGTGCCTGGGGAGGCTTAGGTTGGATATTAGGAAAATATCCCTTCCCTGAAAGGGTTGTCCAGCCAAGTCACAGTCTGCCCAAGGCAGTGGTAGAGTCCTTATCCCTGGAGGGATTTAACAGACATGTGGACATGGATTAGTGGTAGTCTTGGCAATGCACTCAATCTCAGAGGGCTTTTCCAACACAAATGACTCCATGATTCTATGAAAAACAGCCTATGCCTCACCTCTGCCTTTTGTGCTTGCAGGTGGAGCAGTTGGAGATAATCCAGAAGGACCAAACTAAGCAGGTAACACACACCAAGATCTGGCTGATCAGTGACAGTGCACAGCCCTCCTTGTTTGTGACTTCTTGCTGAAGCCACCCTCTCCTCTTGTGAACTGTTCACAGTATGGACCCAGCCATGGAGCACATGGCCCCAAGTCCCTGGGCACCTTCACCTCCAGTGGGTAGCAATTAGGGTCCCATCCTGCTACCTGCTCCTTTACATTGATGCCTGCAACTTGGCATGGCAGCACATGCAGCAAGTGGCTGCCAGGAGCATCCAGGGCTCCTCAGTGTAGGACTGTCAGTGCTGTGATGGCTTCTCCCCCCACCTTTAACCAAGACACAGCTCTTGGTACAACTGGTAGGAACAGCTGCACTCAGTATGGTCCAGATGTGGCTAGAGCAGCATTGATCTCGGATGTGATAGGAGTTAGCACTTGGGAAACAATGCTGGGAAAGCCACATTTCCCTGTCCAGTCCCAGTCAGAGCAGCCCAGGACTCTGCAGAGGCCTTGTGGCTTTGACCAGGGGGCTGGGGGCTCCTCAAGCATCCCCTGGAGCAGGGAGACCATGGCCAGGCCAGAAGTTGCAGCAGCCAGCTACCTGTGTCAAGAGTGCTGGATTACTTCTGGCACTCCAGGTTGCAAGCTCTGGGGCACTGGGAACTTAACACAGGCTTTGCTTCCAGCACATGGCTGCTCCTTATGCTTGTGTAGTTCCAACCAGTCTTGCTGTAAGGATTAACATGGGGTGACTGTCACCTTGCCATGTCCTGGGATCTTCCTTGGTGGTGGGTGGTGCTGCATGGTTGCCCTGTGGCAGGAAATTTCTTCATTGTGCCTTAGAGCTGGCTAGAGAGGAGGGGCTGTGCTTGCCCACAGGAAGATTTTAGTTTTGTGCCTGGTGCAGATCTCACCAAGCCATGTTCTTTCTTCCAGGTGGAGGAGCTGAATAAAAAGCTGACTCAGCATGAGAAGGCCACCAGAACCCAGCAGCAGAGAGTTAAAGTAAAGAGGGACTAAAAACCTGGGGGCTGACCCCTGCAGCTGTTGGTGCTGCTAGGGGGCTCACCTGGGTTGCCTCTAAGCCAGTCTCTTCCCTACCCACAGGCACTTGAAGGGGAGCTGCAGGCAGCAGTCACCAGCCATCAGGAGAAGGTGGCAGAGCTGCAGGTGCAGCTCACCCAGAAGGAGCAGGCAGCTGAGCACTACAAAGGGCAGGTATGCTGGGAGCTAGTATGGCCCTGCTGTCCTTGACACTGCTGAGAAGGTGGACATGATCCTTCTGCTTTATATCCTAGATGGAGAAGGCAAAAAGTCATTATGATGCCAAGAAGCAGCAGAACCAGGAGCTATCAGAGAAGCTGAAGGCCATGGAGCACCTGCAGAAAGAGAACACAGAGCTTCAGAGCAAATCGGAGAGGCTGGCCAAGGAGCTACAGCAGAACATCCTGCAGGCCAAGGAGTCTGAGATGAGCTGCAAGAATCTTACCAGTCAGATCCACAGCCTGGAAGCTCAGGTAAGTATAGCATAGATGAGCTTCAACCTCCTTGTCTTTGTTTTCATCACCACCTCACTTGGAGGACAGATCCATGCATTCCTCCCTGCTTCCCGTTCCAGGTGGAGGTTGCCAAACGACAGGTGCAGGAACTCAGCAAGATGACTGCCACAGTAAAGGGACAGGAGACTTCCTGCCAGAGTGTGGCTGACCAGAGCACTGACAGCCTTGATGAGACAGAGCTGCTCAGCTCTCCCAGGTACCAGATCAATCTGCTTCCAGCACCCCAAAAATCCACTGTTCCTGCTGGCCTGGTAAGCCTGCTGGTGCTACCCTCATCCTCTGTCTCTGCAGGAAGGCTACCAGCTCTCAGTTGGGAGTCTCAGTGTTGCCATCAGACAGTGAAGACTCACTGCTGTCTCAGCAGCTGCCCCAGAGACTGGAGAGTCTCTGCTTTACTCCCATCCTCTCTGAGACGCGCGCCAACTTCCCGGGTGACTTCTCGCTCGACTCGGGGCGCAAGACCCGCTCCGCCCACCGCCGCACGACCATCAACATCACCATGACAGATGTGAGCAGGGGGCCCTGCTGGGGAATGCAGGGATCAGGAGCAGCACTGTAGAGGGACCCAGCATGCTGGGAATTGAAAAGCTGAACATGTCAATATGCACTGGCAGCCTAAAGTCCAGCCATGTCCTCAGCTGATCCCCAGCACCGTAGGAAGCAGTGCAATGTGGGGATTCTGCCCCTCTGCTCCACTCTGGTGAGATGCCACCTGCAGAGCTGCTTCCAGCTCTGGGACCTGCAACATCAGAATGACATGGAGTTGCTGGAGTGAGGACAGAGGAGGTCACAGAAGCTCTCCCTAGGGCTGAAGTCCCTCTGCTCTGGAGAGAGACAGAGAGTGGGGGGGGTATTCAGCCTGCAGAAGAAGGTTCCAGAGAGACCTTAAGGCATCTGCCAGTGTCTAAAGAGGCTCCAAGAGACCTGGAGAGGGACTTTGGACAGGGGCTTGGAGTGACAGGACAAGGGGGAGTGGCTTCCCATTGACAGAGAGCAGGGATAGATGGGATATTGGGAAGAAATTCTTCCCTGTGAGGGTGGCAAGGGCCCTAGCACAGGTTGCCCAGAGAAGCTGTGACTGCCTTATACCTGGAAGTGTTCAAGGCCAGGTTGGATGCAGGTTAGAGCAACCTGGTGTCCCCAGACAATGGAAGCGGGAATGGAAGGAGATGAGCTTTAAGTTCCATTCAACCAAAACCCATCTGTGGATTTTTCTCTCCCAGAAACAGGCAAAGTCTGACGAACTGGTCTGCATCAAGAACATCCCATTGGCTCAGTCCACAAAAACGTCTTCCCCTGCTAAGGGCCGTCTCCGCTCAGGTGCCTCCACTCGTTCCCTCACCAGCCTCCCCTCCCAGGAAACTCTTGCAAAGCTGGAAGCCTCTTCCCCAGAGAAGACCCCTGGCAAGTCAGCACTGTTGGGCCTCCCTGGGTACCGGCCAGTCACCCGTAGCTCCCTGCGCTTGCAGCAGACCAGCAGCTCCAGCCTCGGTGTGTGTGGGCAGGGTAGGCACTGCTGGTTGCGTGGTTCTGCCCTGGCTTGGGGGAGTCAGGTCTTACATGGAACCCCCTCTCATCCTTCCTTGCTTTGGATTTAGGCCGGAGCACCATGAAGCTGGGCACGTGCCAGGATGAGCCGGAGCAGCTGGACGACTGGAACCGCATTGCAGAGCTGCAGCGGCGGAACCAGGCCCGCCCCCCTCACCTGAAGACCAGCTACCCCCTAGAGAGCATGGTAAGGGGCGAGAGGGAGAGGTTAGGCAGCCCTTTGTCCATAACTGGGGTTTGGGAGGGCGTCTGGGAACGGACAGTGCCCCTCGGCAAACATCCCCACATCTCCTCCCCAGCCCTCCACTTCCTTGGGAGCCATCACAGATGAGGATGTGAAGATGGGGGACCCAGAAGAGACGCTGCGACGTGGCAGCATGCAGGCCTCCCAGATCATCGCCACCAGCAGCCAGGCCAGCAGCATCACTACCCGGCAGCAGAGGAAGCGCCTCTCGGAGGAGACCCACCAGGGCCCTGACACCCCCCCGGTGAGCTCAGCCCAGTTCCCCATCACAGCACCCTGCTGGGAACAAGAGGCATTCCAGGTTTTGAGGGAGCTTCTGTGGCCCTGTGGGTAACATCCCCATTCGCCACATGTTCCCACTGATCCTGGATTCCAGTGCCCACTGTTCCCAGCATCCAGTGGTATACCTAGTACTGGTGGTGCTCCCAGTGCTGGCAGGGAGGCCATTCCAGAGGCGAAGGGCTGAGCCTTCTGCCTTCCCTGGGCACTGCTACCCTCAATTACATCCCCTCCCTGTGCCCCCTCAGTGCCCTCATTGCTGCCAGCCCCACAGCAGGCTGAGCCCTAGATGGCAGTACTAGCTGGTCCCCTGTTTTCCAGTCAAAGAAGCCAACCAGCTGCTTCCCACGGCCACAGACCACCCAGGACCGCAGTGAGCAGAGTGGTTCCCAGGTCAGTCAACACAGCGAGCAGCCTGCCCCAGCCACGCAAGTAAGCTTCAGAGGGAAAAAGAGGGATCAGGAGGGATCCCTCTGTCTTGTCCCACCCTGAGCTAATGGTCCTGCCCCTCTCTTACAGGCTCAGAGGCACCAGTCGATGGCGTTCAGCATCCTCAACACCCCCAGGGAGCTGGGGAGGCGCCTGCTGCACCGGGCAGTCGCCCAGAGGAGCACTCCCACATCCTCCAGCGGCACGCGCCGTTCATCCCGCATCGCCACCGCCAAGTCCCCAAAGGGCAGGGTAGGTACTGCCTGACCCCCAGGGCACACTTCTGGGCTTATGCTCACCCCAGTGCCCCCAAGCCCTGCCTTGGGTTCATACAGGCCATGGGGGAAAGGGGGACAGTCCCTGCTGTCTCTGGGGTGCTATGGCAACGGCAGGTCCCTGCATGAGGCTCGGCCATGTTCGTGGTCCCTAACCTCCCGTCTTCGCTCTGTCCTTTCCAGGTCAGTCGCCAGTTGCGCAAGGACAAGCGATCCTGATCCAGAATCCAGTCCCTGCAGTGCTGGTTCTGCCCTGGCCCCCCACCTGCACTCCCTCACCTCCTCCTGTCCCCCCAGGGCCCAGGAGCACTGAGGGTGAACAGGTGGGGCCACCCACAGACTGCCTTGCATATCCCACTGACAACTGTGGGCGTGCCCTGGGCATGGCAAGGCCCCCTTGCCCTTCCTGTACCCACTGTCACCCTAAACCCTTCTGGGACCGAAGGCAAGGGGATGCACAGAGGTTGAGGGCTAGAAACACACAGGGGTGCAGGGGCTGGCACCAGGCTGCAGCTGAAGGGACTGAGCTCTCCCCAGGGATATCCTGCAGCCCCAGTTACAGGGACAGAGGTGAAACTTAGCATCCCTAGGGCCACAACCCTTGCTCCCTGTGTGTGGGACCCCCCCGCCCCCACCTGCCCAGTCCTGTTTCTACTTGTAAATAAAGTGTATTTTTCACCTGATCTGAGGGGTCTTGGCTTCCTTCTCCTACAGTTCCATGCACTGGAACCCTTATCAGGGCTTGAGGGGAGGAAAAGCATGACCTCCTTCCCTGCCCTATCACTGAACTATGCAGGGTGTCCTGAGGCAGGATGCTCACCCAGGGAACTTGCTGTACTACCAAGCAGTCATAGTGCAGATTTCTGTCTTCTTTTTCTCCTTTAACTTACTCTTTTCCAGTAGCAACCCCTGCCATTACAGTGCTTCAAACCCCACCAAACCTGGCTATAGGGCTGGAAGCACCGTCTCCATCCTGACACCAGCCTTGCCACAAATGTCTGGGGGCTGCAGTGTCTCTGCCCCTTGTAGTACTGCACGTTCAGCCCTCAAGGTGGTGACAGAGGATTTGTCCCCATCTCTGCTGTCCTGCTGCAGGCACTGAGGTGAGGACGGGGCCCCTGGTATCTCCATGCAGTTGCTGCCATGCTGGCTCCTGCATGGGAATGGGGAACAGGAAAGTATCAATGTCAGTGTAGCCAATGGGACTGGCTCTCTCTAGTCACAGCTCCACACTCAGCTGCCTGCTGTGATCCTTGGGGCAGCCAAGCCAGGGCTGTATGCTATCCTCACTCAGCAGGTTCTCTGCCAGGTCCTTGGGGTCCTGCACACACAGCAGGGACACAGCATCATGTACCAACCCCTCCCCTCCAGTCTAGCTTGTTCTGGACATAGGAAGAAGCACGGAATTCTCTGTAACCTACAGGAACGACATCCCACTTTGAGAGAGTAAGAATTACATGAATAATTTCTCTTCAGCTTAACAAGGAGAGGTACTACTGCACCCTGTTGTGCCCTGACCCACCTCTTCTGAGACCCTAGCAGCTCAGAGGGATCACCTCCGCATGCAGCCCCCCAGAGGAAATCCCCAGGTACCTGGGAGGAGAAGGACACTACATAGCTGATTTTAACCAGAAGCATTCAGGATCTTTTGGAGACAACACTCTGCCAGAGTGTAACTTCTCTTTGGATGCCTCCGGTGCCTGGTGGGGAGAGAGGAGAATCTGATGACCTTGGGCATCTCCTGGCTTTGGAACCATTCAGCCCCCCAGCCCCATCTCACCACCTCGGTGCCTCCCAGACCTGCCCCACCACCCATCAGGTTACCGTCCCAGCAGTAACCCCCATATCTGACTCACAATCCCCCAGCTCCCTTCAGACACTCCTGTGCCCCCAGCTCACCCCACAACGCCCACATTTCTGCCCCCCAGGTACCACCCCCATCCAGCCCTCCAGTGCCCTCAAATCCATACCCGCAACTCCCTTCAGCCCTACGGCCCGTGCTCCCAGACCCGCAAACGCCTCAGAGCTGTAGTCGCTCCCCACTTTCCCAGCCCTATCAAAACCCTGGCTCCGCCCCACAGCCTCTCCACGCCATTCGCCAACCCAGTGCTTCACCCCACAGCTCCAGCTCACGCCCCAACCGCACCGCTCCCGAACCGCCCGACCCCCTCACCGCGCCCCTCACCGCCCGCCCCGCCGCTCCCGGCTCGGCCGCGGGGCCCGACGGGACTCGCGGGCACCGCCGCGCACAGCCCCGCGGGCGGAGCTCGGCAGCCGCCTGCGCCCTCCCGGAGCAGCGCGAGGCGGGGGCAGCACGGACACTGCCGGTACCGCCGTGCGAGGCGGCCGGTATTGCCGGCGCTGCCCAGCGGGGCTCCGCGTCCCGCTGCGGGCCGGGAGAGCGGGAGCCAGCCCCCGTCCGTGACAGCTCACCGCTCTTATGCGCCCCGAGTGCCGCGTCTGGCAGCCCTTCCACTCCTTCCCTCTCCTGATTGGCCGCCGGGACAGCGCCGCGTCCGGTGATTGGCCCAAGGTGCGGCAGCTTGCCCGGTGATTGGTGGGCGGCGGCGGAGGAGGCTGGCCGCTAGGGGGGCGGGGCAAGATGGCGGCGGTGCTGGAGGTGGAGGTTGGCGGCCCCGTTGAGCGTGAGGCGGAGGAGGTGCGGGGCACGGGGCTGCCGGGGGCCGGCTTAGGTGGAACCGGGTAGGGCGGGGGAGTGCAGGCGCGGATGAGCTGCTTCAGCGCTGTGGGCTGCTTTGGGAAAGGGAGCCGCAGCGGACGTGGGGCCTGGGCGACGCGAGCTCCGGGTGAAGGGTGTAGGGATGTGCGCTGAGGAGCTCGGAGGGTCCCTGGAACGGGACGGCGGCGACTCGAATCGCTTTGAGCTTGTAGAGCTTTGGGGAAAGTAGCTGTGGGGAGTGTTAGGGTGGGGGAGATCACATTGAGGGTCCCGGGGCAGGGTGGTCCTGGGAGCTTCGGAGGGCCCATGGGGCAGGGGACAGTGGGGGTAGGAGGGCAGGGATGGAGGCTCAGCTGTTGTTCCCATGCTGGCTTTTAAATGCTCCTGGGGATGAAAAGTTGCAAAACTGGAAAGAAAAAATTTGTCCGGAAAGTTGGAATTGGAAGCAGGGTGGGTGCGTCTGTCACAGTGCAAGTGCCACTGTCCGGCGCTGCTGGCCCGGGCTTTGCAGTGGCTCTTCACCGTGCCCTGTGCTTCATGCTTGGGAGTTTTTCTTTCACTTGTAGAGAACCAGGAGTACTTGGTTCCATCCTGTCTGCACTGTGGGAGTGGCTGCACAGGGGTCATAAGTCACTTAGCTGGTACAGTCAGGTAATTTTTTTGTGCCTTTCCTCAAGAACTGGTGGTGTGGCTTAAAAGTCGTCAGATGCTGACGGTTGTTTTGGAGAAGATTCCTGGCAGGGCCCAGTTGTGGAGATTCCCTACTGCGTGGCTGAGCTGTGGAAGCTTGTACCTCCACCCTGTGCCTTGTGGTGCACTGGGGTGATGGGAGGATTAAACCCCAGATTGGTCACTCTTGAGTTGCAACTGGTTATATTTTAAGATATTCGTTGGTGACTTTGTATGTAAAAATGTGGAAGATCCAAATCTCTGATCCTCAGAAATGAAATTACCACTTTTCATTCCATCAGGAACTGGCAGAGAGGGTGTCACAAGGAGGCAGTGAATGAGGAGGTGCATTTAAGACTGTGCTTATCCCTGTGATTCCACAAATTGTTGATGCTAAAACCTATCTGCCTGTGCTATCCTGAGATCTTTGGGCAGAGCAGTTTGCTGATGAGGCACTCATTGTGGGGACCTGAAAGCAGTTTAACATTCCACCAGAATAAAGCCAAGTGTCCCGTGGCCCTGGCTCTGCCTGTGCAGAGGCAAAGGTTTAATTTCCAGTTATCCAAATGTTTGATCAGTTGGGGGATTTCCACTCCCTGCTCCTTGTTCCCATGTCTTGTGAGTGGAAAAAATGCAGAATTGAGATTCCAGAATTTCTTCAGACTTTCACTAAAGAATATTCCTTGTCCCAATTTGTCTTGGTTGGACTTACAGCACTGTAGAGATTTATCTTCCCCTTATTTTAGATGATTCCTGGTAGGTGCTGAAAGACAAAGAGTGAAGTTGGGGCAATGGGAAAAGTGAAATCAGGGCTCTTGGTTGCTCAGGAGCTTTGAACTGAAATCAGCAGCTGCTCATTCTCCATCCTCAAGGCATTCTTCTTGCCTCCTTTGGAGATTTAGAGCATAAGTGGATTACAGTCAGCTCACAGCAGTGTGTGTGTTTGTCCAGAGATCCTCCCAGCTCCCTGGGCTGTGAGGAACATGGGCTCCAGCTTTGCCCATGACCTTTTAGGGTCTCCCTGTCCCTTTTGGGGTGTCCCTGTCCTTTTAGGATCAAAACTATGTAGAAGTATTAAGTTTGATACTAAGCACTATCAAAGTCTTATCCATATCAACAGCCTTTGTGTTTTTCTAGGGGGGGTTATTCTGTGACTGTCCCAGCGGTGAGGATCACGGGTTTGTGGAGGCTTTGGGGCATCAGCTCCTGCAGAAAACCAGAGAGTGGCACAAGATTCTTCCAAAGGCCATGATACCACGTCCAAGGGAAGGATTAAACTTTAGTCTTAGATCACGGGTTTGTGGAGGCTTTGGGGCATCAGCTCCTGCAGAAAACCAGAGAGTGGCACAAGATTCTTCCAAAGGCCATGATACCACGTCCAAGGGAAGGATTAAACTTTAGTCTTAGATATCCAGTTTCTCCTAGTCATCACCCAGAAGAGGCTGTGGTTTTTGAGAGGATCATGAGTTACAGAGGAGATAAGAGAGCAGAAGAATTGTTCTTAATTCCTTTTCTTCAAAACAAAAAGTTTGTCTAAGAGCTGTAGTTGGTAGCACACTGGGTCCTGTATTGGTGTGGCAGCTGAAGGATGCTGAAACAGGGGTAGGGTGGAGTTGAACACTTGGTGGAGCTGATCTTCAGCTGCTTCAGTCACCCGAAATGTTCTTGTCAAACCCCTCTTGGTAAAGGGAGATTTAGGAGTAAAGGTTCTTCTACCTAGCTATTTGGGTTAGAAAGAGACCTAAAAGACTGCATGTTAAAATCAAACAACCCCAAACTAGAAGTGGAATAAATGCTTGCTGGCAAGAGCAGGTGCTTCCTTCATCATTGCTGTGCATTTTTAGCTCTAACCCAGAACTTCTGTGCTAAGAGAGTGTGCAGGTCAAAGAGGAGTTAACTGGAAGGTCTGACTCAGGGTGGCTGCTCTGCTATGTCCTGTCTGACAGTCATCAGATCCCTCCCAACATCTCTTCTGTCATGTCCTGCCCCCTGCTTAATAAAGTTATTTCAGGAGCTTTGAGCTCTGGGGAATCTGGTGAAGCTCAGTCCTTGTACTTGAGAGAAAATTGTGTTCAGGGCCACGGATCCCTGATTGTCTTGGGAGCACAGCTCAGAAGAAGACTGTTCTGAGCAACACCAGCGGTGTTTCCACAGGGTTTGGAGCTGAGGCATCTCGAATGCATTTGCTGGAAGAATTTGGAGATTCAGGGAAGATGCCAAAGGAAAGAGGCTGGTAAATATCCCAGTCTCTGTAGAGTGGCTGCTGGTGTGGTACAAAGGAGTGAGCTGAGCCACTGTATAGGAATGAAAATTATTGCTGTGGTTGGAAGGTGCTTGTCAAATGTCTTCATCCAGCACGGGTGGGGACAGAGCCTGGGAGGAGTGGGGGTCTCATGGTGGGAGGCAGTGGGAGCACCCAGGTGGCTCTCAGGGCTTGTAGAGTGGTTGACCTGTGCTGGAGCCAACAAGCACTAGGGATTTCTCAGTGTCTCCTGCGTGCAGTGACCAGCAAACATTTTAAAATCTCCTGTTTTCTTGTTTGTTTGGAGCAGTTCTTGCTCCAAATTACATTGCAACTTCTGAATTGATGCATTTGGACGTGGCTGCTTTAGGAACAGAGGTCCTCAGGGAATTTGGTCAGTACAAACACCCTTCTTGGTATCAGGTTGTCACCACCTTCCCTTGCCTTCTGACACGGGCCAGCAAACTCCAACGAGGATTTTCTTAGCTTTAGATTTTGCATCTAAGTCCTGAAGTATTTCTTCAGGACTTGATTCTCAAGGGCTGAAATTCTTGCAGGTGTTGCTGTGGAGTGAAGCTCAGCAGATGCTCCACATCAGGCAGATGGGTTGCTGCGGTGTGTTTTTTCCCTACCTCCTCACCCTGGGGTAAAATTAGGTGCCACAGAGGAAATGAGGCAGCTGTGCATCCTCAGCTGAGCCTGGCTGTGATCAGAGCTGCTGCTTGGGAGACGTGTGTGTGCTGGTGATGGTGACCAGGCGGGTCACCAGCCTGTGGAGAGCCCCAGCACAAAGGCTGGATCCAAGCCTGTGGCCCTGTATCCAGTGGGGTGAGGTGGAGCTCGTTCCTGTGTACACATCTCTGGTGTGTGCAGGAAAGAGTGATAACAGTCTGTGCTATGGCTTGTTTCCAACCTTCATCCCCAATGCCTCAGCAATACTGGAGTGTCTCCAGCACTGTGAGGATTTGTAAACCCCACATGTATGTTCCCAGCCCAGTTGAGCTGCTCTTGATTTAATCTTTGTGTCTCACCAAGAAAATATGATGGGAAGAGCTGTGGGATTCCCTCCCCGGTTCTGTGGGTCAGGCTGTGCTGCCTGGTCAGTGACCCTGTGTGGGGACATGACCAGTGCTGGAGGCTTGTCAGCAGTTAGGTGAAGATATTGAGGGAAACAGAAGCTCCATCCCTGGAGGTGTTCCAGAGCAGGTTGGATGGTGCTTGGAGCAGCCTGGTCTAGAGGAGGTGTCCCCATGGGAGAAGGGTTGGAGTAAAACGAGCTTTAAGGTCTCTCCAACTCAAAGCATTCTGTGGTTCTATGATTCTATATAAAGCTCCAGGTGAAAGCAGAACTGCAGTGTTGAAGCTCCCCTTACTCCTCCCCTTTCCAAAAAGGAGAGTATTCGTGCTTTTTGTGAATCTTACTGGAGAAGATGGGATACAAGTATCTATTGTCAATCATCACTAATAACAGCAGCTCCTCTTGCTCTCAGTAGCTCCTGCCTGTGATATTTAGGAGGATTTTTCAATTATCTCAGCAAAGCAAGGCCTAAATCTTTCTTTTACTGTGAGTTTCAAATCTTTTTGGCATTGATTTATTTCTGATGTGTGACATACTGTCCCCCATCCTGCAGCCTAGTCTCCTACCACTGGTGGGAGCATTGGCTTCACTGGGATCACCACTCAGTGCCCTGAGACACCTGGCTGTATTGTGAATGTGGGATTTAAGCCAGTTCTTTTGTTCTGGTCACATGGGATGTTGGACAGATCCTCGGCTCCAATAAAATGTGGGAGTGTAAGTAAGGTGGAGGAGCAGGGAGAGTCTCTGCTCTTCCTGGGAAGATGAAGGACAGCTCTGGGCTATGCTGGCACTGTGGGCATGTGGAGGTTTCTTATTTAAAGTATTTGAATCCAGAGTTTCCCAGCAGCTGATTTCATGGGTGTTTTTTTTTTCTCCCT